AATGTCTAAAAACCAGTTTTTTGCTTTTTCATTATGGGGTATTGTGTGTAGATTGATGAGGGGGAAAAAACTATTTAATCCATTTTAGAATAAAGCTGTAATGTAACATAATGTGGAAAATGTCAAGGGGTCTGAATACTTTCCGAATGCACTGTATATCCACTGCATTTACAGGGTGAATTTGTCCCAATACTTTTGGTCCCCTAAAATGAAGGGACTATGTACAAAAAGTGCTGTAATTTCTAAATGGTTCACCCGATATGGATGAAATAACCCTAAAATTAAAACTGACAGTCGGGACTTTAACCTCATATCCAACATTTTGAAGTATAGAGCCAAAAGAAGAAAAAATGCTTCACTGCCCGAATAATTACAGAGGTTACTGTATGTATTCAAGATGCATTCATTTACTGTGAGAGTAGTTGACTCTACTCTAGCTTAGTGTGTAAGGATCACAAACAGTTCCCACACCCTCTCAGATATTCTGTGTACCAGGCAACCTACCCTGAGCCATAAGGATAAAGAAAGCCTTTGTCTAAAGCAGGGAACAGGCAACCGATTGTGTCTGCATTTATGTGTGCGTTCGTGAGTGCGTGTGTGCGAGGCAGAGAGGGCCTCAACTTGCCGATCTGTGCACTCATGAGCGGGTGTGGTTGTGTGAAAGGAGAAGGAGCTGTTTGTGCAGCAGGTGTGCGTCCGTGTGTGGGTCTGTGTGTGTGTGTGTGTGTGTGTGTGTCTCTCTCTTTAACTGGGAGCCTGTGCCTGTTACCTGAGTGGTGTTTGAGTAGAGAGCGGCGGGGAGGATTGCCTGTGCAGTGAGGAGGGGTGCAGTATGAAAAGACAGATTAAAAAGAGGCTGCCCTCTGAGTATATCAATGAAGTCTGTGGTGAGAAACTATCACAGCATTATAAAGGTCTGTGGTGAGAAACTATCACAGCATTATAAAGGTCTGTGGTGAGAAACTATCACAGCATTATAAAGGTCTGTGGTGAGAAACTATCACAGCATTATAAAGGTCTGTGGTGAGAAACTATCACAGCATTATAAAGGTCTGTGGTGAGAAACTATCACATCATTATAAAGGTCTGTGGTGAGAAACTTTCACAGCATTATGAAGGTCTGTGGTGAGAAACTTTCAAGCATTATGAAGGTCTGGAAGTAGTTTCAAATTGATTCAATTCAATACTCCACTACCCCAAGACACTAATATAAATGGTAATCATACTCACTCACTGGATGTCTGGCTTTGAAAACTCATGTACATTCCAATAATATCCCTCACTGTTCATCATTTTCTTATAGTTAGTAACACTAGCATAAACTGCAGACCTCTTTTTCATTTGTCATTGGGTGAATCATTTGTGGGTCAATGGCCCAGACTGTGACTCTCTTTCTCCCTCCTCTCTCTCTCTCTCTGAATCTCTTGACCACTAGTCATGTCATAACATCCAGGTTAAAGGTTAAACACTGTGAGAGAAAGATGGATCTATATTCTCAGGTGAAAGGGTGAAAAAGTGAAAGGTGACAGGGGCTGAAGATATAGTCTCACTTGGTTTGGCCGTCTGTTGAAGGGTTCTGGCTGAATGTGTGTGTGTCTGTTGTGGCTCTGGCCTGGCTCGGCATGCCATCTGTAGATGAAGGAGGTGTGTGTGTGTGGAGGATAAATACAGGGGGCTGAGAGCTGTGTGTGGAGCAGTCTTTAATTAGAGCAGGAAGACATGGCTCAGCAGCCGCACAGGGCCAGACCGGGGGGGGGGGTGGGGGGTGGCACACTCCTATGCATGTGTCCATGTTCAACCTCCATTGTGCTCCAATGAACAGACTTCTTCCTTAGCGAGTATATCTTTCACACTGCCCACAACAGATTGTTACAGTGAGGGAAAAAAGTATTTGATCCCCTGCTGATTTTGTACGTTTGGCCACTGACAAAGAAATTATCAGTCTATAATTTTAATGGTAGGTTTATTTGAACAGTGAGAAGGTGACAACAGTTGGTGCAATTATTCGCAAATGGAAGAAACACAAAATAACTGTCAATCTCCCTCGGCCTGGGGCTCCATGCAAGATCTCACCTCGTGGAGTTGCAATGATCATGAGAACGGTGAGGAATCAGCCCAGAATTACACGGGAGGATCTTGTCAATGATCTCAAGGCAGCTGGGACCATAGTCACCAAGAAAACAATTGGTAACACACTACGCCGTGAATCCCTGAAATGCTGCAGCGCCCGCAAGGTCCTCCTGCTCAAGAAAGCACATATACATGCCCGTCTGAAGTATGCCAATGAACATCTGAATGATTCAGAGGAGAACTGGGTGAAAGTGTTGTGGTCAGATGAGACCAAAATCGAGCTATTTGGCATCAACTCAACTCGCCGTGTTTGGAGGAGGAGGAATGCTGCCTATGACCCCAAGAACACCATCCCCACCGTCAAACATGAAGGTGGAAACATTATGCTTTGGGGGTGTTTTTCTGCTAAGGGGACAGGACAACTTCACCACATCAAAGGGACGATGGACGGGGCCAAGTACCGTCAAATCTTGGGTGAGAACCTCCTTCCCTCAGCCAGGGCATTGAAAATGGGTCGTGGATGGGTATTCAAGCATGACAATGACCCAAAACACACGGCCAAGGCAACAAAGGAGTGGCTCAAGAAGAAGCACATTAAGGTCCTGGAGTGGCCTAGCCAGTCTCCAAACCTTAATCCCATAGAAAATCTGTGGAGGGAGCTGAAGGTTCGAGTTGCCAAACGTCAGCCTCGAAACCTTAATGACTTGGAGAAGATCTGCAAAGAGGAGTGGGACAAAATCCCTCCTGAGATGTGTGCAAACCTGGTGGCCAACTACAAGAAACGTCTTACCTCTGTGATTGCCAACAAGGGTTTTGCCACCAAGTACTAAGTCATGTTTTGCAGAGGGGTCAAATACTTATTTCCCTCATTAAAATGCAAATCAATTTATAACATTTTTGACATGCGTTGTTTTCTGGATTTTGTTGTTGTTATTCTGTCTCTCACTGTTCAAATAAACCTACCATTAAAATTATAGACTGATCATTTCTTTGTCAGTGGGCAAACGTACAAAATCAGCAGGGGATCAAATACTTTTTTCCCTCACTGTACATAGTGAGTGAGAGATACAACAAACGGAAAATATCACAAGCAATATTCAATTTGTTAAAAGTATACATTACAAAACCAGGACAATTATGAGTGCAGGGGACCTGATTGGTTTGTTTTGGCATACACAAACTGAAAGCAATGTTTGTGTATAAGATTGGCCTCGTGCAGTCACTGATGAACTCCATGGAATGCCTTAGCAACAGTATGCAAACATTGAGTCATGCTAGGTCATCTTAACCCCTTACACTCGTGTGAATTGGCCTATATGTTTAGGGCTAAATTAAGCATTGTAGAAATTAAAAGGGAACAGTTTGAGATTATGGGAAAATTATTAGACTGATGATGTTAATGTGCATTTTACATTTACTTTATTTGTTGAAATGGAATGGAGGTAAGCACTGGCAAAATCCTAGAGGAAAACCTGATTCAGTCTGCTTTCCACCAGGCACTGGGAGATTATTTCACCTTTCAGCAGGACAATAACCTAAAAAACAAGGCCAAATCTACACTGGAATTGCTTACCAAGAAGACAGTGAATGCTCCTGAGTGGTCGAGGGACAGTTTTGACTTAAATCTACTTGAAAATCTATGGCAAGATCTGAAAGTGGTGTCTAGCAATGATCAACAACCAATTTGACAGAGCTTGAATAATTTGTTTAAGAATAATGGGCAAATGTTGTACAATACAGGTGTGGAAAGCTCTTAGAGACTTACCCAGAATGACTTACCCAGAAAGAGCTATAATCGCTGCCAAAGGTGCTTCTAGAAAGTAGTGACTCAGGGGTGTGAATAGATATTTCTGTATTTCATTTTTTATACATTTGCAAACATTTCTAAAAACATATTTTAACTTCGTCATTATGAGGTAGTATGAGTAGAATAAATATATTTTTTCCATTTTGAATTCAGGCTTTAACACAGCAAAATGTGGAATAAGTCAAGGGGTATGAATACTTTCTGAAGGCACTTTAGATATGTGTAGGAGTACGGTGACTGGGCATCAGGATATATGATAAACAGAGTAGCAGCATCGTAAATGATGATTGTATGTGAGTGTGTGTGTGTGTAGAGTCAGTTTAAATGTGTGTGAATGTTATGTGTGTGTTGGAGTGTCAGTGTGCGTGAGTGTGTAGAGTCCTGTGAGTGTGCAAAAAAGTCCTCTCAGTGCAAATAAATAAATAAAATACAAGGGTCAACTCAGACAGTCCGTGTATCCGTTCGGTTAGCTATTTAGCAGTCTTATGGCTTGGGGATAGAAGCTGTTCAGGAGCCTGTTGGTGTCAGACATGCTGCGATGGTACCGCTTGCCGTGCGGAAGCAGAGAGAACAGTCAATGGCTTGGGTGGCTGGTGTCTTTTTTCTGGGCTGGTGTCGATTTTCTGGGCCTTCCTTTCACACCGCCTGACATAGAGGTCCTGGATGGCAGGGAGCTTGGCCCCAGTGATGCACTGGGCTGTCCACTCCACCCTCTGTAGCGCCATGCGATCGAGGGGAGTGCTGTTTCCATACCAAGCAGTGATACAGACAGTCAATATGCTCTCAATGGTGCAGCTGTATAATCTTTTGAGGATTTGAGGGCCCATGCCAAACCTTTTCAACTTCCTGTTGGGGAAGAGGTGCTGTTGCGCCTTCTTCACAACTGTGCCCGTGTGATTGGACCATTTTAAGTCCTTAATGATTTGGACACTGAGGAACTTGAAGTTCTCGACCCGCTCAACTGCATTTCATGCCTTCTATAGAGGGAAGCCTGAATGAGAGACCAAATGATGAAGTGTTTAATAGAGATAAGTGAATACAATATAGCCTACAGTGGGTGCTGTTTTACCAGATATGGCAAGAGGATACTATGTTGGCAAACACTTTTTCTCCTTTCTTCTACAGCTCCCATGTGTTCTCTCAGTCATGCTACCCGGGTATGGATTCTTCCCTCTCCCTGACTTCCAGCCTCACCTACACGCCTTCCGTTTCCGAGGAAAGAGCCCCAGCATGTGGATCCCGGTCTCAGGCGAGTCCCAGGCTTTGAGCGAGGCCCAGGACGACAGGCCTCTCCTGCGGCAGTGCCACCACAAGCACATCGCTGTGTGTCAGCAGGAGACTCTGACCTTCATCGAGCTGCAGCCGCCTGTGACCCCCATCGTCAAAGGCTGGGGCTCCCCTACTGCAGACACCCAGCGCTTCAGCCCGTTGTCTCTGAATCATCGCAAACACACGAGTGAAGCACAAATTGGCAGTGGGAGAAGTAACCCTGATCGTTACACTATTACTGATACAGACCTGAGTTTAGACTCTCAGGCGCTAGGGGGCGAGGTTGAGCTGGTTATCCAGGAAGATAGCAGGACTGACCCTCCAGTACAGGAGCAGTGTGAGAGACCCATGGCAGTGTCATCTGTGTTTCTTCCCCTCCACGCAGCCCTCAGCCTGCCCCTGTCCTTTCCTCTGTCCTCCATGTACAGGGACACAGACTCCTGGGACTCTCAGCCACCTGGCTCTCCATCCTCTCCTGAGCCTCCGTGGCTGCAGAAGCCAGATACCTGTCGACCACAGAGGAGGTCGTCACAGAGCTCCCTCAAGGAAAAATCCATCCGTAAGTACAGTATCTATCCATTCCACATCTTCAACTCTCTGTTAGTGCTCATCATGAGAATGTTTTATTCCCCCTTCATTTTATCCCCCCTACCTATTTTTATCTGTGGGACTTCAAAATCACACTTAAAATCTTACTTTAGAAATATTTTGCACAAGGCCATATCCAATATGATTGGACTGTAGTTCGGAGAGACATTTACACCTGAGTGTTGTTTGTGTTGTGTCCCAGGGCGTAAGATGCGAGTGTACTCACCAGACAGCCTGAGCGACGAATCTCTGGCCAGCCCCGTTCTGGAAGGCGACTACCTCTTCCCAGGACCCTTCGACTCCTTCCTGGAGGAGGACCTCGGGGGAGACCCTGAAGACGCCACGAGTCCCTCATCAACAGGGGTTGCCGTAGACCCCCAAACCCCCAACCCCCCAAAGACTCCACCTCTGTCTGCAGAGCCACTACAGTTGTCAGAGGACTCCTCTGTCTTGAACTGTGAGGCTGTACAGAATTCCTCGGCCACCAGGGGGAGCTCTTTAGTCTGCTCTCGCATGGCGGAACACGAGCGGCGGCGCTTCTCTGCCTCTGAGCTGATCTCACGGCTGCAGCTGTCCCAGAGGAAGAACTCGTTCACGTTAAAGCTGGGCAAGTCGCTGTCGGCTCGTGTGGCTTCCCGTGACAGGCAGACCTCCAGCAACCTCAGCTCTGACTGTAAGTGTCCCGCCTCAGGGTTGAGCACCACTGCAGTGGGATGTGTTAGACACAAGGCTTCTGACAGCATTGCATGTCTCATAACAACATTAACAGCCAAAAATGCTAATAAATAATTTAGCAATTTGAGGCAACTTTGAGGCAACATTCTATGGTGGTTGTGTGTCTGCTAGTTTCCTCCACCTCCATCTAGAGGTCTTCACGGGTCCACCTGACCCGATATGCATAAACTAATTTGAAGAAAAAAAACAAGACCCATTCCAAATGGACCCGAGGACAGTCAGACCCAAAAAGGACAGTGGAAAACAGACCCAAACAGACCCATGCTGGTTCGGATCCGAGAGACCCATTCAGATCAGAGAGTAGAAAGAGCGAGAGAAAGAAACCTTCAACTGGGCGCTGCAAGCGCCATCAATAAACAAGCGATATTGGCCAAATGATCCACAGTTACCTGTACTTAAAAACTGCCAATAACATCGACATGCATTTCTTCATACTTGTCAGGTAGGTTACTACTGCTATACAGATGTAGGCGTACAGAAGGAGGCTAAAAGTATGAAAAAATTAAATAATGTATGCACTCACTAACTGTAAGTCGCTCTGGATAAGAGCATCTGCTAAATGACTAAAATGTAAATGTAAAATGTAATTCGTAAATTTCCTATCAAAATAATTTTTTTAAGATAAGCATTATATTGTTAGATTAAAAGAGTAACTCTGGTAGGCCTAAAACCTTCTTCCTCACCTCAGGTTGAACTGTGGGAGTCAGTTGGAGTGCCGGTGCGCACTGCCTTCATAGGCCTGCAGTAGCTAAGCCTAATAATAGCCATACCACTCCAAACCTTTACAGAAGTTGCTTAACTTTATTAGGGTAATATCAAAAGTAAGTCAAGTCATTGTTTTGCATCTTGCCCTCTTTGGTTTTTCCATTTCATGGTTTGAGTGCGAGTAGCATAGTAGGCCTACCGGTAAAAAAAAAAAAAAAATAGGCCTACCGGTCATTCTATTATATTGCAGCAAACACAACGTTACAGCTGGAACTTAATTTGTCCAACAAAAATGGCTTATATTGCAGCTATTACCAACAAAGGCGATTGTCTACCATACGCCTACCCAACAAATGACAGTAATAGGCTAATGCTATTTATTTTATAACAGGCCTATAATAATAATTATTATTATTAATGACTAAACATTTGATAATAAATACGAAATAAATAAACGAAGGGTAGAAAATTGCATCAAACCTGAAGAGCGAGTTGCAGACAGTCCATTTGGCCGCGCCAACATTCTTCTCATCTTTGTCCACTACAATATTAAAACTTGTCCCTGAGGACATTCCCCTCGTCGGCTTCTCTTCACTATACTCTTTGTCCTCTAACTTTTGCTTTTCTTCAATGAAAGAGAATCCATCTTTGCAATCAACAGTAGCCTAGGCCAAGCCTCTGTTTACTCTCTCTCTCCTCTCTCTCTCTCTCTCTCTCTCTCTCTCTCTCTCTCTCTCTCTCTCTCTCTCTGTCTCTCTCTCTCTCCTCAGCAGCAGGCACACGTGATGTGAGCAGCTGGAACCAGTTTCAGCAGGACATAAGCTATACGTTTTCTTGAGTTGCAATTGGCTGACACAGATAACAAGCTCGCGCAGTTCTCATCACACAAACAGTTAATTAACAGAGGACAGGTCCAATTGGGTCCAGTCGGTAAATCAATTTTAATTGCACATGCCTGAGACCCATGGCAATTATATCAGACCCACTCAGATCCGAGACAAAAGTCAAAATGTAGGACCCGCTCGGGTCCTGGGTTGGATATCTGAATTTTGGGTCTGTTGGACTCATGAAGACCTCTACCTCTATCTACCTTCTTCTTCTCCAGATAAATCCACTTCCAGGTACCGTGGCTCAGGTGGTTCCAGTCACAGCGCCCCCCACAGTCCTGTAGGACCTGTACCGCCACAGCCCTCTGCTGACAATAACATGCAACAACATCGACGGAGCACCGGATTCACAATCAAAAAGTGTGTTTTAACAACTAAAATGTGTATATATTATCAAGATTAAACTCACAAAGTCGCATTTCAACTATACATCTTTGCTGGAAGTGGGTCCTAAAGATGTCAGCTGTAAATAACACTGTTATAACAACTATAACTACCACCATTCTCACAGTATGAGGAAGAAATCCATCGAGGAGGATAGGTGCACTCCTCCCACAATCAGCAGCTCCAATCGTCTGTCACGGTTTCTCCCCAGCTGTGAGTCTTACTTTTCTCTTCTCCTGTGTCAATAATTTTGTTAATTCCACCTCTCTTCTCCACCTCCAGTGTCAATGGTATTTATATGGCATAGCAATGGTGTTCACACTCGTTCAACCACATGCTACATAACAACATAACATCTGAAAGTAATTATTTTTACTTTCTTCAACAATGATTTGAATTCTCAATCAACCCTATATACTCTTCTTACTTCTTTCTCTCTCTCTCTCTCTCTCTCTCTCTCTCTCTCTCTCTCTCTCTCTCTCTCTCTCTCTCTCTCTCTCACGCTCTCTCTCTCTCTCGCTCTTTCTCTCTCTCTCGTTCTCTCTTTCTCCCTCGCTCTTGCTCTCTCTCACTCTCCTCAGCAATTCTGTACCAGGAGTACTGTGACGTTGCAATCAACCGAGAAATCCAGAGACAGCAGGGTGCTGAGGAGGAGGGGCTAAGGGTGAAAGGGGCTGGGGAGATCCCATCTCCGTCCAATCTTTCTCCGTCTAGCTCCTTTCGCTCGTCACAAGGCTCCACCTTCTCCCTGTGGCAGGACATCCCTGATGTCCAGACCAGCGATCAGCTGGACAACTTCAGCAACGAGGAGCGCAAACTACAGGAGGTGAGAGCATGAGGATGACATCAAGCCAGATTAGGATTTAGGCAGCACTCATAGAGACGGATAGAAGTTGTGCATATCTTTTATGGAAAGTGCACCCTCTATCCATCTCTATGGCAGCCCTACAGGCTTTAAGCATATCCAATTAGCCAGCCAAGTTGATTTGTTTCATCTATGTGATGGATTACCTTTTTTGTGGGTTAACATATTTTGACATAACATTTGTGGTCATAAAATTATATTCATGATTTTATTTTAACCCTGTGTTTCCCCATAATGTCTCATGATAACATCATGATTTTGATACTTATTTAGATAAATAAAGCATCATGCTTTTAATTGTGAGTGAGAGGTTATTGCTTCCTAAAGGCCCATAATGTATCCTCATCACAGGCCAAGTTTGAGCTAGTGACGTCTGAGGCGTCGTACATCCGGAGCCTGGCCATCGCAGTAGACCACTTTATGCTGTCCCAGGAGCTGGGGGAGTGTCTGGGGACCCAGGACAGACAGTGGCTCTTCTCCAAGCTCCCAGAGGTCAAGGACGTCAGTGAGCGGTACAGTATAGTAACATGACACTGATGGGAGAGTAAATTGCTTGAATGCATGTCATGAGATTATTTCTGTTTTTTTCTGTCTTGTTATTTCGCTCCGTTTTTTTTGTTCTGTTTCTCTTACTTTCAGCATCTCTCTATCTCGACCACTCACTCTTTCTGCTCTGAATTTGTCACTTTCTTTGTTTCTCTGTCACTTCCTCTCGCTCTCTCTTCCTCTCTGTCTAGGTTCCTGCAGGACCTGGAACACAGGCTGGAGGAGGACATCTTGCGTTTTGACGTGTGTGACATCGTCCTGGCCCACTGTCCCGCCCTGCGCAGGGTCTACCTCCCCTACGTGACCAACCAGGCCTACCAGGAACAGACCTATCAGCGCCTGTTGTGAGCAGTCTTACTTTGTGTGTATTTCTATTTGACTTCGTTGCACATTTGAGACTGTAAGTATGATGCTTGAAAATTACTGTACGTCGCTCAGTGCCTAGTACACACACTTAAATAGTTGCTTTATACATATGGATTGGGAGGTTAACCCATAGAGGGTGTGCAGGTTTCTGTTCCAGCCCTGCACTAACACACCTGGTTCAACTAATCAACTAATCATCAAGACCAAGTGTGTTAGTGCTGGGTTGGAACGAAACCCTGTAGCTCTCCAGAAACAGGGTTCGTGACCACGGATATACACTACATTTCCAATCCATACCAGTGAAGGTTTTCCGACTATGCTGCTAGATTTTAGTGTTTTATATTTTCTCTGTAGACAGGAGAATGTTCGCTTCCCAGGTATCCTGGCTCGTTTGGAGGAAGACCCCATCTGCCAGCGTCTTCCCCTCGCCTCCTTCCTCATCCTTCCGTTCCAGAGGATCACACGGCTTAAGATGCTGGTGGAGGTACGATATAGAGCACCCCTGTTCACCATAAAATTAAACTATTCATGACTGGCTGTAGGGACAGAACATTACTACCTTACATCAAGTTACAGACCAGCCAATAGGCCAGTATACAGCAGTAGGCTTTGCAGTGCCCTAAGGTGAAGTCCAGATCCAAAATGTTCTATCTTCCTTCTATCTTATAGAATATCCTAAAGAGGACAACACCAGGCTCTAGAGATGAGGACACAGCCACCAAGGCCTTCAATGAACTGAAAAAGGTAACAGAAAATATACAATATACTTTACGCACACATTTTTGTGGTCACCCTCCCTTTACATTTCTCACTGCCGATCGTGAATGATCATTCTTCAAGTTTTACCGGTAAAACGTCCATGGAGCATCTGCATGCCAACCATTTGATCTCAATCAGTTTCATGGTAATATGCATTTGGGTCTTCTTGAGTTATGTATGGTGTTGTTTCGAAGTACAGTGTTGTTTTGAAATTATGAACAGTGAGGAAATGTTTGAGTAGATGATGTTAATCTACCCACAATACCCCATAATGACAAAGTGAAAACAGGTTTTTATACATTTTTTAAATGAATTAACACTAAAAACAGAAATACCTTATTTACATAAGTGTTCAGACCCTTTGCTATGAGACTAGAAATTGAGCTCAGGTGCATCCTGTTTCCATTGATCGTCCTTGAGATGTTTCTACAACTTGATTGGACTCTACCTGTGGTAAATTCAGTTGATTGGACATGATTTGGAAAGGCACACTTTGTCTGTATATGGTCCCACAGTTGACAGTGCATGTCAATGCATAAACCAAGCCATGAGGTCGAAGGAATTGTCCGTAGAGCTCCCAGACAGGATTGTGTCAAGGCACAGATGTGGAGAAGGGTACCAAAACATTTCTGCAGCATTGAAGGTCCCCAAGAACACAGTGGCCTCCATCATTCTTAAATGGATGAAGCTTGGAACTACCAAGACTCTTCCTAGAGCTGGCCGCCCTGCCAAACTGACCAATCGGGGGAGAAGGGCCTTGGTCAGGGAGGTGACCAAGAACCTGATGGTCACTCTGACAGAGCTCTAGAGTTCCTCTGTGGAGATGGGAGAACCTTCCAGAAGGACAACCATCTCTGCAGCACTCCACCAAATACGCCTTTATGGTAGAGTGGCCAGACGGAAGCCACTCCTCAGTAAAACGCACATGACAGCCCACTTGGAGTTTGCCAAAAGGCACCCAAAGGACTCTCAGACCATGAGAAACAAGATTCTCTGGTCTGATGAAACCAAGATTGAGCACTTTGGCCTGAATGCCAAGCGTCACATCTGGAGGAAACCTGCCACCATCCCTACGGTGAAGCATGGTGGTGGCAGCATCATGCTGTGGGGATGTTTTTCAGCGGCAGGGACTGGGAGACTAGTCAGGATTGAGGCAAAGATTAACGGAGCAAAGTACAGAGAGATCCTTGATGAAATCCTGCTCCAGAGCGCTCAGGACCTCAGACTAGGGCGAAGGTTAACCTTCCAACAGGACAACGACCCTAAACACACAGCCAAAATAATGCAGGAGTGGCTTCAGGACAAGTCTCTGAATTTCCTTGAGTGGCCCAGCCAGAGCCCGGACTTGAACCAGATCGAACATCTCTGGAGAGACCTGAAAATAGCTGTGCAGCAACGCTCCCCATCCAACCTAACAGAGCTTGAGAGGATCTGCAGAGAAGAATGGGAGAAACTCCCCAAATACAGGTGTGCCAAGCTTGTAGTGTCATACCCAAGAAGACTCGATGCTGTAATCGCTGCCAAAGGTGCTTCAACAAAGTACTGAGTAAAGGGTCTGAATACTTATGTAAATGTTATATTTCAGTTGTTTCTTTTTAATAAATGTGCACAAATTTCAAAATCTGCTTTGTCATTATGAGGTATTGTGTGTAGATTGATGAGGAAAAAAACAATGTAATCAATTTTAGAATAAGGCTGTAACGTAACAAAATGTGGAAAAAGTCAAGGGGTCTGAATACTTTCCGAAGGCACTGTATTTTGCCGCATGATAAAAAAAGAAGAAATTAGGTGGTGTTTTTTGTCTTACAGTAACGTTATACTATGCTATTATATTCGGTTATGTTATGTAGAATATTATAATTATGTGATCTTGCAGACATTGATTCAGCTTTGATTATTAAATAAGCACCATTCTCCATTCATCACTGAAATTTGCCAAAGTAGCCTGTTCTCTGAGCAGCCAAACAAGCAGAGCAGAGACTGTGAGTAAAGTAGAGAATCCCGCACATGCGCAGAAGCTTCAGATTTTTTGCTATCGGGAAGAGGGTTACGAAGAATTCGGAACTGCGGCCACTCCTTATACCAAAGGTTGAAGTGAGGCCAATTTCTGGTCATAAACCATATACATTGCATAGACATAGACATTGCAGCGCATTTTGGAGAAATTATTAAACTTCTGTCTAATAGGCTATTGTGCCCAAAATGCTGAAATAACTGTTCATATCACACCAGCTTATAAAGGAGTGTAACTCCAGTGTGCAATCAATGAAGAGGATGGAAGAGCTCATTCACCTCAATAAGAAGATCCACTTCGAGGGCAAGGTAGATGAAAACATCACTCATTAGGAACAACCTCATTCATTCTCAGTACACCTACTGTATGTTCATGTATTTTCCCCTTTCCTCTATCTATTGCTGGATTGGTTTTGGACAACAAAGAATCCTATTTCTTACTGCCACAGTAAGGGTTAACCCTGTAATGTTTGCCCATTGTAGATCACAAGTAAAGAAACTACATGCCTCTAAACCCAGTAATAATTCCTTAACTGTTCATTCATGCTCATTAATAACATACATCTCCCCCTTTTAGATATTCCCTCTGATCTCGCAGTCTCGCTGGCTGGTCAAACACGGAGAACTGCTGGAGGTGGACACACAGACCATGAGTATTTCTGGGTCAAAGTTCAAGTTGCCCACAAGGCCTGTGTATCTGCATCTGTTCAATGACTGTCTTCTGCTGTCCAGGAGAAAGGAGTGAGTACTAAATATGTACAATGTAGAGGGAGAATAGAAAAAAACAATGTGTTTTATATTTATGGAGTTATGCTATGCTAAGGTATGCTAAGCTATGCATGGCACATAGCATTATGTCCTAAAAGCTGGTTGATTGAGTGATGCATGGTGTAACAGTTTTGCTACCATCCCTCTCCTCGCCCCTACCTGGGCTCGAACCAGGGACCCTCTGCACACATCGACAACAGTCACCCTCAAAGCACCGTTACCCATCGCTCCACAAAAGCCGCAGCCCTTGCAGAGCAAGGGAAACAACTACTTCAAGGTCTCAGAGCGAGTGACGTCACCGATTGAAACGCTACTAGAGCGCACCACTAACTAGATAGCCATTTCACACAGGTTACAATGGCATACATTGACAAATTATTGTCCTTGGTCTGTCTGCAGCACGTGGAAGTTCATGGTGTTTGTTCACGCTAAGATTGGGCAGCTGAAGGTGAAGGACCTCAATCAGAAGCTCCAGGGCATCTCAGGCTTCATCTTCCACCTGCAGCTGTGTGAGGGCCAGCAGCTCAAACACCAGATCCTGCTCAAGGCCCACACTGAGTGAGCTAGTACACATACCACTATCAATCACGATCATGATATGTAATGGTAGTGATAATGTAAGAACTGACAACCTCTACATGGGTTTTCCTTCTTCCCAGGAGTGGGAAACAGAGATGGATCACGGCCATGTTCCCGTATGATCCATTGGAAGACATTGAGCAGGCCAGTGAGAATGATGGTGAGTAGCTACTTTATCAGTAGTCTGCATAAGCAATCACATGTTGCAGTGCAGTTGAGTATTTCAATAACTTATAGACCAACCTCGGTCATATCACTGAGTTTCTATTGTTTAATTTACTGTAACCTGGAAAATATTGCATTATGTTTTTTAAAGTTTAAAAAAATTGATTTTAACAGCAGTACACCTTTTTCATTAATTTCGACACATTTGGTTGTTTCTCCACTCAGATCTTTCTCAAGTTCAATGCATCAAGAGCTACCAGGCCCAAGAGCATGACGAGCTAACATTGGAGAAGGCTGATATTCTTCAAGCCAAGACCATTACAAGTGACGGTGAGACACTCCGCTTGGTGACATCACGTTAAACTCTATCATCATGAGTATAAACTTTAAAGGGCAACTTCAATAAAATAAAAACACTTGACATTTTCTCCTTTACCCTTAAAGTAGTTCATAAGACTTTTCTATCATATGTCAAACCCAAAGTTTGAGTCTAAAACACGTAGACCACCACAAGTGATAGCTGTGTTTTCGTTTGCTGAGGTTGTCGTGTATTGTATATCCACAGGTTGGGTGGAGGGCATTCGGCTGTCAGATGGGGAGCGGGGCTGGTTCCCCAAAACCAACGTGGAGGAGATCACAAATCGCAGTGCGCGTCTCCGCAACCTCAGAGAAAACATTCGCATCAAGTGTGTCACACAGAAACTGGAGGAGGAGCACTTTTAAGTGTCCTCGCCACCCTGCAGCTTTTAATTTACACTTGGAATGTCCAATCGTAACAGTGTAGCAACTCTCAACCCCAAGTATCTATAAGACCCAGCTTTTACGCAACACCAGTTATACAATAGCTGAGTAGTTTTAGGTGATCTGGATGTGGGAGCTTTATTTAGTCTGCAGGTGCCAAAGACTTGGCATGTCTTGACCATAAGCAATAGGGTTAAGTAATATGGTTTTCCAGCTGCATAGCAGTAATTTCCTTTCACACATGCTTGCTATGACTGCATATTCAACTACTGTAAAACAACTACTGGGACATCAGAAATCAAGTGTTTTTCTTTGCCCCCAAGCACTGTAATTGTCATCTTAAAGAGTCCTCTCAGCATCAGGAATAAACACAATTTCAGACATACTGTACATTCAAAGCATGACTAGCCTACTAATTTACTAATGCAAAAAGTAAATTTCAACAAAACATTGAGAATTACAGAGTTTGTACATCTTCCCTGTGATTTGACAGTGAGAGCTGTTTACGCGTAGACAAAAATTAAGATGTAAGCACATAATATTATTGACCAACCACTACTACCATCTACATGTAGATGTACACCATTCCAGTGGCACATTATTATTATTATTAATAAATATACCTTTGTTGGATTTCTGAGTTGTTAGTACTAATTTAAATGATTGCTGTTGCAGCATGTGTATTTGTTTATGCTCCTAGCTGGTTATTCTCTATGGAGAAAATGATGTAAATTTACATTCTGTAGATGTACTTACATGTTTAAATGAATATATGGCTAATTTACTATTATGACTGTAATTTATAAGGGATCTACCAAAAACATGCCATACCATCATAACAAATATTAGAATTGAGAAATATAGATTACAAAAGACTAATAATACATGTGAGCTACTTGAGATTTCTGGTTGTGAGCACAATACTGTAAATGCTTTACCCCTGAAATAAATGCATATACTTACATTTTCAGTGCTTTATATGACTACTGAAAATGTTTTATTCAATAAAACAGTATGTAGGTGAAACCTGAATATTTGTGGCCATGACATAAAGTTTGAGTTACTTGTATAAGTAGGCCTACGCAATTCGGGAAAGGTAGTGTTACGTGAATTATTTAACAAACTATGTGTCTCTGTACGTCTCCCAAAAGGTTGTAAGTCTTTTGGGATTTAAGTAACGGACAGAGTCCCGGTCTGCATAGTCAGAGATGTATTCATTGAGAATTCTAAAACAAAATGGTCGTCCAATATTTTTATATGCACACGTCAGAGAAAAAATCCCTCCCCTCTGTAGGCAGGCTGTAGTTTTCCACTTTATAATTGCTCTCCTGACCATCAGTTCACACACACACACACACACACACACACACACACACACACACACACACACACACACACACACACACACACACACACACACACACACACACACACAAACACATTCACACACACACACACACACACACACCTAACAGTTTTCCTGTGCTCCTGAGTGGCGCAGTGGTCTAAGGCACTGCATCGCAGTGCTAACTGTGTCACTAGAGATCCTGGTTCGAATCCAGGCTCTGTCGCAGCCGGCCGCGACCGGGAGACTCATGGGCGGCGCACAATTGGCCCAGCGTCGTCCAGGGTAGGGGAGGGAATGGCCGGCAGGGATGTAGCTCAGTTGATAGAGCATGGCGTTTGCAACGCCAGGGTTGTGGGTTCGATTCCCACGGGGGGCCAGTATAAAAAATAATAATATGTAAGTCGCTCTGGATAAGAGCGTCTGCTAAATGACTAAAATGTAAATGTAAATGTAGTTTCTCTCCTCCCTAAATTCCTCAGTTATCTTGGTTTCTCAGTTGCCTGTAGACAGTTCTCCTTGTCCTTTGTTGTCTGGTCTAACTCTTACTCACATTGCTAAATAGTAGCTCAATGTCATAGTCTTTACTGGTCCTACACTCACACATTCTAACACATTTCACACAGTTTCAGGATGTAATAATTAGTCATTAATAATTAATCTATCAATCCACCCTTTGACAAAATTTTACACACATACTCACAAAATATATGTTGTTATAGAAATGAATCACACACATTGAAGCATATAAGTTGGTTTGCATATAAAAACATAAAAAATTGTCTCATTCAATACAGGTTCATCAGGGTTACCCCATGATTAAAAGCGTAACGTTACTCTTTAGCAATGGTCCCTAACCTGTTTACCCACTATCTGGATACAACAGTCTAAGCCTATAGTGAAGAACATTTGCTTCATCACATCCTGCAACATCGGTTAACTAGTACATCATACTTAAAACAAGACTTTAATACAGAAAATATCATTACAATAACTTTTAAACTAGAGATTTATAGTTCTAGGAAAACATCCAGTCTCAAACTATCTGAATCGTCGTCGTCCTCCACCAAGCCTGGTGGGTCATATTCTTCATTCGGTTGGTCGGAGTCTGGGATTGGGCCGTAGCTCACCATCTGCTGTGATACTGCATTTTCCAACGTCTTGCTCACCAACCCTCGGACACAGGGAATAAGACAACATCCACAAAGAACAAGCATACCCATAGACGCGATTGCCACGCCTAAAATAGTTACAACAATAATTTTCCATTTACCAAACATTTCATCAAACCAACCAGTCATTGATGTATTCACCTCCCTGTTCTCAGCCCATTCTTTAATTAATGCAGTGAGACCTGCCAGTGCTCTAGTTACTGTACCATCTGGGGCTGTATTGTTGGGGTTAAACATAGAACAATGACCTCCCATCATCTTGCAAATCCGCCCTTCTCTGCTAAAAGCATTTCGAGAACCAAACTATTCTGCAGGTCATGAGTGAGGTGGCGGATAGTTGGCCTGAGATTCTCTTCACTGCATCCCCTGTCTAATTAACAAACCTTTGTAGATGTAATTAATCCAGTCAACATTTTTATCAATTGTAACCCACCAGAAAAATGTTGTTGTAAACCGTTCTCCAATTTGATCTGTAATTCGCATTACTTTGGTGTCTATAACATTGATAATCTCATGGGTTCATGGTGAATTGGGGTGCCTTAGTATTATCCTTTTTAAGAGTGGTTATTTTAATATCAGAACAATTAGGTGAGGTTTGGTTTGATCCCAAATCTATCACACAAGAGAACATGGTCTGAGGCATAGGTGCAGTTACAAGGGTTGGCCTACCTGTTGAACATGCATAACAATTAGTTTGACCCAACGCCCTAGCTGTGTAGTTACCCAGATGTTCTCATTTGAAATTCCTTCTACTTCTCCTTGGTTCATTTCCTGCAAGAGGAAATATTCTACCCTTGGTGGTTTAGTGCTATTTAGGATTCCTTCTGAGGGCCTTCCAAAGGGTATTAGACTAGTTTTTTGGTACCTCTGGTGATAAAATTAGATCTACCTGCTGTTCTGTCTCGGGGGTGGAAGATTAATTTCTCTCCTGAAAAATGAACCTCAAACATATACAGTGGGGAGAACAAGTATTTGATACACTGCCGATTTTGCAGGTTTTCCTACTTACAAAGCATGTAGAGGTCTGTAATTTTTATCAAAAATCACATTGTATGATTTTTAAGTAATTAATTTGCATGTTATTGCATGACATAAGTATTTGATACATCAGAAAAGCAGAACTTAATATTTGGTACAGAAACCTTTGTTTGCAATTACAGAGATCATACGTTTCCTGTAGGTCTTGACCAGGCTTGCACACACTGCAGCAGGGATTTTGGCCCACTCCTCCATACAGACCTTCTCCAGATCCTTCAGGTTTCGGGGCTGTCGCTGGGCAATACGGACATTCAGCTCCCTCCAATGATTTTCTATTGGGTTCAGGTCTGGAGACTGGCTAGGCCACTCCAGGACCTTAAGATGCTTCTTACGGAGCCACTCCTTAGTTGCCCTGGTTGTGTGTTTCGGGTCGTTGTCATGCTGGAAGACCCAGCCACGACCCATCTTCAATGCTCTTACTGAGGGAAGGAGGTTGTTGGCCAAGATCTCGCGATACATGGCCCCATCCATCCTCCCCTCAATACGGTGCAGTCGTCCTGTCCCCTTTGCAGAAAAGCATCCCCAAATAATTATGTTTCCACCTCCATGCTTCACGGTTGGGATGGTGTTCTTGGGGTTGTACTCATCCTTCTTCTTCCTCCAAACACGGCGAGTGGAGTTTAGACCAAAAAGCTATATTTTTGTCTCATCAGACCACATGACCTTCTCCCATTCCTCCTCTGGATCATCCAGATGGTCATTGGCAAACTTCAGACGGGCCTGGACATGCACTGGCTTGAGCAGGGGGACCTTGCGTGCGCTGCAGGATTTTAATCCATGACGGCGTAGTGTGTTACTAATGGTTTTCTTTGAGACTGTGGTCCCAGCTCTCTTCAGGTCATTGACCAGGTCCTGCCGTGTAGTTCTGGGCTGATCCTTCACCTTCCTCATGATCATTGATGCCCCACGAGGTGAGATCTTGCATGGAGCCCCAGACCGAGGGTGATTGACCGTCATCTTGAACTTCTTCCATTTTCTAATAATTGCGCCAACAGTTGTTGCCTTCTCACCAAGCTGCTTGCCTATTGTCCTGTAGCCCATCCCAGCCTTGTGCAGGTCTACAATTTTATCCCTGATGTCCTTACACAGCTCTCTGGTCTTGGCCATTGTGGAGAGGTTGGAGTCTGTTTGATTGAGTGTGTGGACAGGTGTCTTTTATACAGGTAACAAGTTCAAACAGGTGCAGTTAATACAGATAATGAGTGGAGAACAGGAGGGCTTCTTAAAGAAAAACTAACAGGTCTGTGAGAGCCGGAATTCTTACTGGTTGGTAGGTGATCAAATACTTATGTCATGCAATAAAATGCAAATTAATTACTTAAAAATCATACAATGTGATTTTCTGGATTTTTGTTTTAGATTCCATCTCTCACAGTTGAAGTGTACCTATGATAAAAATTACAGATCTCTACATGCTTTGTAAGTAGGAAAACCTGCAAAATCGGCAGTGTATCAAATACTTGTTCTCCCCACTGTATCTGCCCCGAAATCATCAACACAGGCCCAATAGTTCCTTGCTATGTCATCTTGCATAATTGACTTTACCGTTATCACCAGTTCCGTTTTACATTTATCATGGGTTTGTTTAATTCCCCATCGGTGTACTTTTATTTTTTATTTTTTTTATTTAATCTTTATTTAACCAGGTAAGCCAGTTGAGAACAGGTTCTCATTTACAACTGCGATCTGGCCAAGATAAAGCAAAGCAGTGCGATAAAAACAACACAGAGTTACATATGTGGTAAAAAAACATAAAGTCAAAAATACAACAGAAAATATATATACAGTGTGTGCAAATGTAGCAAGTTATGGAGGTAAGGCAATAAATAGGCTATAGTGCAAAATAATTACAATAGTATTAACACTGGAATGCTAGATGTGCAAGAGATTATGTGCAAATAGAGATACTGGGGTGCAAAAGAGCAAAATAAATAACAATATAGGGATGAGGTAGTTGGGTGGGCTAATTTCAGATGGGCTGTGTACAGGTGCAGTGATCGGTAAGGTGCTCTGACAACTGATGCTTAAAGTTAGTGAGGGAGATAAGTGTCTCCAGCTTCAGAGA